AAAACAGTGTTATCCTACACTCCAGCATCAGTGTTATCCTACACTCCAGTATCCCCTTCATCCCACCACTCCCCTTGCCTGTACGGAAGACAGTCTCCCCCAAACTCTTTTGTATTGCTTGTTATGAATAGCATAATATGTCACATAGCTGCAAGAGTGGCTACATGCTCCTGGAATTCTAAAATTTTAGACAGTTTGGGTCTGGAGAAATCTCTGCAGCGAGCTGCTTGGTTTAGAGATTCTTTTGTGTGTCTCTGGATCATGGCTGTTAAGAAACATAAGTCGCAGCCAGGGGCATTTTCTAGGCGTGATCTCCAGGGTCCCATGAAGATGGGAGATGAGAGGGCCTGGTCAATCCCCTATCCCTTGAGACCTGGAGTTTGTCATCACTGAACCTGTGTATCTGGGTTCTGGAAGTTGGCGGCCGCTGGGGTTTTTAGGGGGCAGGTGGAAGGATGACACCTACCCCTGTCTGAGGCACCCGGTGAAGCCGATCTGGCTTAAAGTCCAGATGCATCTGTGCAGCGAGCTGCTCAGTTTGGAGATTCTTTATGTGTCTCTGGAACTCAAAGATAAATTAAAAGCTTAAAGAAAACAGTAAACATATCTCTCTCTTTCCTACTTTATTTTCATTTCCTGAAGAGACTGGAAATATGTTTCCAGATGAGTATTAACAACTCCTTTAAGAAACAAATATTTTAAGCTTCTATAAACTGTTTGATAGAATTGAAAAGAAGGAAACCACTCATTTTCATAATTTTAGAAGAATCTTAATATCAAACTAGACAGAAATAAGACAAAAATTATTATAGACTAATTTCACATAAGACTGTGGCTACATAAGGGCCTGGAATATGGCTCAGTGGTATTGCACAACCCTGTTGCATATGTGAGACCCTGAGTTTTGATTCCCGTCAATCTATGATCCCCCAAGTAGCTCTAAAACCAATCCAAATTAGTGACCCAGGCTTTTCCTAAAAGAAAACAAATTATTAAATAAGATTAGACCTGAGTTTGATTCCTCCACCCCCCTCAGAGAGCCTGGCAAGCTACCAAGAGTATCTCGCCCACACGGCAAAGCCTGGCAAGCTCCCTGGGACGTATTTGATATGCCAAACACAGTAACAACAAGTCTCACAATGTTACTGGGCCTGCTTGAGCAAATTGATGAACAATGGGAGGGCAGTGACAGTGATAGCAAACTAAATAACTAATGTACTTAAACAAGCTAAACCATGACCAAATAAGGTCACAAAATACATGAAACATGTTAAATAGCTGTAATAGTGTTAATGGAATTCACCATATTAACAAACTGTAGGTGTAAAGCCATCATTTCAATACATTTTAATTTCACAAGTAATATTGTCAATATTTATTCATTTTAAACTAAAAAACTTAGTATCATCAAAGTTTATTACAAAAATCAAAATTACTGCCACTATTAATTATACTCATAAAAATTCAAGGATGAATCTTGAAGTAAGAAACAAGGATGACTATTATGATTTCTACTGATGTTGAAGATTCCAGAAAATGCAGTAAAATGGGATTTTGAAAGTGAGGTATAAGAATTTGAAAGAAGAAACAGAATATTCCTTGCTTTTAAGATCCAAGCAAATCAACACACTAGAGAGCATAATAAAATATTTTAGAAGCATGGTGGATACAAAAATGACATTTAAAATTAAATATCTTGTATTTAATTAAATATCAGGTAATAGCCATTTGGGAATACTTTTTTCTTAAGTGAATACTTGATGTATTTTATCCCAACTAGAATTTTCCTAATAAGAGGAAACCCTTGTTGTTACTGCAGTCATTCCATTTATCAACCTGAGTCAATATCCCCATTTTTTAACTTACTTTCTTTGTTTTCTGTGGACTGTGAATCAAAATCAAAGCCAGGATCTTATGCATACTCTATTGCTGAGCTATATCTATAACCCTGTGACATGTTTTTAAGTTCCATTTACTATTTTGAAATGAATTTCATTGCTTACTATCATTTAGGAACATACCTTTATAAATAGATAAATTTGATGTAATAGTAAGAAACTAAATAATTCCTAGCAAAGTAATATATGTCGATGGCACTTTGTAACTATTGAAACATTGAATTTGTGCCAGAAGACATAATGAGGTAGTCTTGTATTTACATTTACTTTTAATCAATACATTTGGAATTAAGAGAAGGAAGATAACATATATTACATATTGTCAACAATTTTTCTTTTTAATCGTTCAACATTGTTAGAAAATTATATGTTTGAATGTTCATAGATTTGCTCAAACAAGTACTGAGCTCCTTTGGTTGTTCAAAATATAATGAGCAGTACTTGTATTGTTTGCAAGGCAATTTTATAAAGAAAATTTTTGTTAAAATTTTAAAGGAACAACAAAGTTCTCTCTTAGTTTTCAGAATTGTTGCATATGTGAAAGTTACTTTAAATTCTAAATGTAAATGAACGTAAAATTTGTGTCAAAAATGCCTTTAATTTCTAAAATTTAGTTCTCTGACATTTCTCTTCTACTATTTACAAATGCAAAAAAAATTCCCTTATATAAATGCCTATATCATCTCCTAGGGGGCAGTATTGCTTTTATTGAGAACTAGATGAAATTTTGCAAAATTTAGCTATATCTAAATTCTTTTTCTAAGTGATATTATCATTTCATTTAAAGCATTTTATTTACTAAGTATCTCACATTTAGAGGATAATATTTCATCTGTCTTAAAAACTAACAGCATTTCAACTAATAGCATGATGGCACCCTTGTTTGTGACTTCAACATGTTTGTGTTGCATGTGAATCTTATTTTACAGACATTAATTACATCTAGTTGAAAATTTTTACCTCAAACAATAGTTGTATAAAAATAGAAATGATAAAGTTGTCATGGGAACCAGGAAGAGTTTTAACAGGGGATTTTTTGTTTTCAATCAAATGATGTAATTGGTCCTAGAGTTGCTACAGTGAACTGAGATACCTTACAACTTTACACGGCTTAAAACTATTCTTAAATTTGGTAATTACTTAAAAATGTGCTAAGTTTTGTTGATGTGGGGGAGTTACAAATACAATAATCTTTTAAACTGTTACAATTTACTGCCTAAATAACTTTACTCAGTTCTATAGCTTCAAAATCTTTATTTCCAGCTCTTACCTTGTTGAGTTTCAGAATGTGTATCCAATTGCCTATATAGTATATATAAATAAATACATATATATTTATACTTTTTTCTGAGAACATTTTCTCAGAACTACTAATGCAATTTTCACAGTTTCAAAAATTAACTCATGCTTTTCCTCCCATAGACTTGCCCACTGGTGTTACTCATCTCATTAAATTGCATAACCACTTAGTCATTTGTTTAGACCACAAACATAGGGGGTCATTCTTCACTTTTTTCTTTCTCTCAAACCCTAAATCAAATTCTTTTTAAAGTACTTACAGTACTTTAGTAAGTACAGTACTTTAGTAAGTAAGTAATACTCTATATTACTCGAAGAGGTCTCCTTGAGGGATTAAAATTTAAACAGAGATCTAAATGTAAAAACTCATGGAAACAGGGAGTTGTGGGGAACTGTTCAGGCTCAGGGAAGAACTAATGTAAATGGCTGAAGGCAGCAGCGTTGTGTTATTGTGTTCTCTGGCTGCAAGAACCACTGTATCTGGACCAGAATGATGAAAAACAAGAATGGTAAGAAAGTAGATCAGACAGATATCAAGAAGACTATGTTTTGAGGTAATAAAAAAAAAAGATTTTATTTGAAGTTTAATGGAAGTTCACTGGAAATTTTTTAAGCAGTTACCTGATTTGAACAGTCTGGTATATTACCGGATAGACTAAAATTTTGTGAAAGAAGTAAGCAATCAAAGAATTCATATAACTTCAATTTCTCACATAAGAAATAATATTGGCTTGGGGCCGGAGCAATAGCACAGCAGGTAGGGCGTTTGCCTTGCATGTGGCCGACCCAGTTTTGATTCCCAGCATCCCATATGGTCCCCCGAGCACTACCAGGAGTATTTCCTGAGTGCATGAGCCAGGAGTGCTCACATGGCAGAGCATGGCAAGCTACCCATGACGTATTCGATAGCCAAAAACAGTAACAATAACAGGTCTCATTCCTCTGACCCTGAAAGAGCCTCCAGTACAGCATCGTTGGGAAAGATGAGTAAGGAGAGGCTGCTAAAATCTCAGGGCTGAGACGAATGGAGACGTTACTGGCGCCCACTCGAGTAAACAGATAAACAGCGGGATGACAGTGATACAGTGATGAGCCAGGAGTAAAAAATAAAAATAAAATAATAACAATACTGGCTTGACTCAGTTTGTTCAGGCGAGAGATGGTGTTAACTGGTAAGATTTGTAATATATTTTGAAGATCAAGAAGCGATACATCTGCACCAGAGCAATAGAACAGAGGGTGTGGCCCTTGCCTTGCACATAGCTGAGCTGGGTTCAATCCCTGGCATCTCATATGGCTCCTTGAGCTCTGAGAGGAGTGATCCACAAGTGCAGAACCAGGAGAAAACCTTGAGCACAGTCAGCTATGGCCCCAAAATAACAAAACAAAAATAAGCAAAAGGATACAGTCCGATTTAATTTAATCAATCACAGTCAATCACAACCATCCTGTTATTCGTCGATTGCCTTGAGTAGGCCCCAGTAACATCTCTTCGTCCTAGCCCTGAGATTTTTTTTTCTCTCATTCTCCTAATTTAATCAGTGATGTAAAAAGGAAACTTGGTGTTGGTATGAGAGAATTAAAGTAAATGCCAACACTAAAACTGTGCTGAAGATTAATTGCTTTTGCTTTATAGTCAGTATAAATTATTTGAATTTCTATTACTATGACTGAATATATTATTAACAACTGATTGTTAATGAAAATGTTGGCTAAAGGACAGTATTTGGGGTTTCTTTGCATAAAGTTTATGTTATTAAACATTAAATATTTAAAAAATATAATTTTGCTATTTCATTTTAGGAAATGATTTGCAACTGAGCGATTCAGGAAGTGACAGTGATGACTAAAGAAAAATTCAACTATAACGACATGTGACACTTTATTATATATTAATAAAATTTTCTAAGGCTAAAGAAAATGTACCAACTTTTTCCCAGTTATTTGAGAGGATTGGCATGCATTGCTATGTAAGTTCAAGGCAATTGTTTGGTGGTTTGATTTATATGTATTTTGAAATGATTGCCACCAGTGGTTCATTCATTGTCTAGTAACAGCAAAGAGAAAGTAAAGAAGAAAAAGGAAAAAAAAATGCTTGCAATGAAACTCTTAGGATTTATTTACTTAACGACTTTCATGTACATATACATATATATACTACATTAGTTCTAACTATTATCATGTTATAGTACTTGTCTATCTTACAACTAAAAATTTGTACCTTTTGACCTCTTTTCTTCTGAAAACCAGTTTGTTCTCTTTTTTTCTGTAAATTTGGTGACTATATTTTGTTTGGTTGTTTGGGTTTTGGGGTCCATGAGTGAGATCATTTAGTTTTTTTCTTCCTTATAACTTACTTTGCATAGCACATTCCCTTACAGTATGTAACTGTGTTGTCATAAAAATAAAAAATTATCTTTTATTATATCTGTGTAATATTCTATTTATCACATCTTCTTTAATCCATCATCTGCCTTTGGGCACTTGAATTGTTCCATAGCTTGTCTATTATAAATAGCACTACAATGAACACAGACATGCATACATCTTTTCTAATTAGTATAGTCCCCTATTTTAAGCATAAAAGAGGCTCCACTTGCTCCTTTATTGAAGATAAACTCTCCATATACCTGAGAATATGTTTCTGTTGGTAGTTGAGCCTTCTGTGTTATTGTTTTTGTTTATTGAACTTAGTTGGCTTCTTTGTTGCTTTCCTGTCTAATTTGTATGCTCCTACTGGGATGTTAGCTATAATCTGGAGATGTCTTGTGGCCCGAGAACTCCAGGATCTGTAGAATAGGGTTGACAGATTTATACTGTGGCATCAGTGGGATCTGGATGTGACTTCCGGGGCTTCTAGAAGTACTTCCAGAAGTACTTTCAGCCTGAAAACTGGTGCATCTGGAATTTCCATTGCTTTGGTGTATCAGCAGAGATTACTTGTGAAGCAATAGAGTTGGGCCATTGGCATGGTAGCAGTTGTGTGATGTGGCTGCTGGTGCCAGGGCTTCAACAAGGCAGGAGCTTGGCCCAGCCCCTCTCTTGAGGACATCCCAGTTTTCAGCTGGGAGAATAGTGTGCCTATAAGTTTTAGCAGCTAGGCTTGTATCTCCTCGAAGATTTAGTTATGAATATAAAGCTGGGCATGAGTTTACATTCTGATGTCTGTGGCTTTCAGGGAAGCCAGGAGGATTGGGGTAGGGGGGAACTGCCTGCGCCAACTCTGAGAAGACCCCAGAGTTTTCTTTCAGATTGAAAACCAGTGTACCTTGAATTTTTGTCACTTTGGAACCTCTTCAGAGATGAGTGGTGAAGTAGTGTAGATGGGCCATTGGCGTGGCAGCAGCTGTGGGATGTAGGTGCAACTGCCAGAGCTTTGTCAGATCAGCCCACCTCCTTCTGAGGGTGCCCCAGAGTTTTCAGCCAGGAGATCATTGTACTGTGAATTTTAGCAGCTTGTCTTGCATCTCTTCCAAGATTAGTCAACTGGAGTTGTTCTTTCAATTTCCCTCTCATATTCCAGTATTTGCATATAGAAAATCCACAGATTTCTATACATTGATTTTGTAGCCTGCTGTTTTACGCTATAGCTTATTATTTATAGGAGTGTTTTTGTAGCCTCTAGGCTTTTCTAAATATCTCAAAACCCTTTCTAACACCATGCTCACAAGACAAATCCAAACGTATTAAAGACCTCAACATTAGACCTGAATGTATGAATCATATTGAGGAAAACATAGAAAGAACATTTCATGGAATTGAATCTAGAGGCATCTTCAGTGAGTTAATGCCATTAAGCCTAGACAGTGAAAGCAAAGCTACATAGGGCTACTTTAAACCAAGAAGCGTCTGTATCACAAAAGAGTAGCCCAGAAAAGTAAAGACATCCCACAGACTCGTAGAGAATATTTACCCACCACGACTCTGACAATGCAAGATATATAAAGCACTGGTAGAACTTTACAAGGGAAACGTACACTGGTGGAGGGACAGGTGTTGGAATGTTGTATGACTGAAACCTGACCATGAACTGCTTTGTAATTCTATATCTCATGGTGATTCAATTTTTTTAATTAATTAAAATCTAGGGGCTGGAGCGATAGCACAGTGGGTAGGGTGTTTGCCTTGCACGTGGCTGACCCGGGTCTGATTCCCAGCATCCCATATGGTCCCCCAAGCACCGCCAGGAGTAATTCCTGAGTGCATGAGCCAGGAGTAACCCCTGTGCATCGCCAGGTGTGACCCAAAAAGCAAAAAAAAAAAAACCAAATTAAATTAAAAATTAAAATCTAAATTTCAATAAAAATGTTAATGGGGGTGGGTGGGAGAGGAACAATCTTCATCAAAGAAATTCCCAAAAGGTATATGAAAAAGTGTTCTTTATCACTTATTAGGGAAATGAAAATCAAAACAGTAATGAAATGTCATCATGTCACATAAGCAAGACTGGAACACATTGCAAATAACAAAAACAACCAGTATTGGTGTGGCTGTGGGGAAAAATGACCCCCATTAACATCTGGTAGGAATGTTGTCTGCTTCAGCCTTTTGAGAAAACAATAGACTCATGTCAAAAACTTAAACTTGAACACCTATTTATAACCTAGCAATTCCACTTCTTTTTTTTTTTTGTAGGAGTACTGCTATTTCTTCAGCCACTGATTAGCTGATTGAATTGGGCATGAACTCCACCTTAATTTTTTAAATTTTTTAAAATTTTTATATTTATTTGTTGAATCACTGTGGGAAAAGTTACTAAGCTTTCAGGTTTAAGTCTTGGTCATACGATGATCAAACACCTTTCCCTTCACCGGTACTCATTTTTCACCACCAAGAACCCCAGTATACCCCCTCCCACCCCTTCAAATGCCTGTGAGGCAGATGATTTCTACTTAACTTTTCTCTACATTGATTACATTCATTATTTCGACAAAAGATACACCATTATTGTCTAGAATTTCCTCCCAAACAATCAGAATTGCTGAAAAGGCATTGTGAAATATTTTGTTTTCTATAGCTGGTTATGAGAATCATATAATGTCAAGCGGCCACGATTTTGGATTTCTTCAAAGAGCCAGATAATTACGAGATTGGTTTCTGTGTGTCTGGTGTTATGGCTGTGCCAGAGAGCCGCTTGTGGGGGGTTAACTTGTGACCTCGGTAGGGCGTGAAGGACGAGCCGGTACCGCCCTCCTTCACATGAGACTGCAGTTGCCCTGTCACCGCCGGCTCATACCTGGCTTTCCTATAAGCTCTGAGGTGAGGGCCACCTTGCTTCCAGAAGGGAAAAAGACGGAAGGGAGCAACACCCTTTCCCTCCTGGGGAGGCATGGCACCGTAGTTTAACGCATGGTACATTCACTTTTCTGCTGCAAGATTCCGGGCTCTGGATTAAGTCCTTTTGCCTCTGGAGCCATGGCCGTGCCAGAGAGCCGCTTGTGGGGGGCAATTCGTGACCTCCGTAAGGCGAGATGGACAAGCTGATACCGCCCTCCTTCCCATGAGACTGCAGTTGCCCAGTCACTGCTGGCTCATATCTGGCTTTCCAATAAGCTCTGAGCCGGCACAACCTTGTATGCAGTCCAGATGCATTTCTGCCAAAAGCTGCTTGGTTTCAAGATTTGTTTCTGAGTCTCTGGTATTATGGCTATTAATGAGCTTGATCAGGAGCCAGAGAGGCCATTTGTAGGCGGCAACTCGGAATCTCATTGGGATGGGGAGAAAGATTCGGCTCCATCCTCATGTGGTGAGGCCCCATGTGTCTCATCACTGCAGGCCCAAACCTGACTGTCCAGTGGCCTCTGGAGGATGGCGGTCACCAGACCACCAGGGGGAACAGGCCAAGGCACAAAACCTATTCCCACTTGGAGTGGCCCAACACCAGTAACCTACTGCAGGAATAGGACACATTTCTGCCAAAAGCCTTTGGGTTCTGAGATTCGTTTCTGAGACTCATGACCATTAAGCAGTTCGATCAGGAACCAGAGAGGCCATGCCTCCAATTATATAGCTGAGCCAGAGGTGGTTTGTGGGTGTGTCTCCCACATCCCTAACTTTTGGCTGTTTACTTTCTTGGTAAACTTTGCCCCAAGTTTTTTGGGTCTAGCCAAAGACACAGCAGCAATTTTGGGGTATCTGAAAGTCTAACGTTGCCATCAGGCTGCTGATGCACTCACCTCACAGGTACAGATTGACCTGCTGGCAGCACCATCACTTAATCACTTAATCACTTAACTTCCCGTTAGTCGTCGATTTGCTCGAGTGGGTGCCAGTAACGTCTCCATTTGTCCCTGTCGCGTGCTAGTGTAGCTCAATGGCATCTGTTCACTCTGGGAACATGAAGAGCCTCAAACCGATCGTTCATGATCTTGATGAAGAAGTCTGACCATCTGGTAGGTGGGCGGCCACGCGGTCTTTTGACGTCCCGTGGAATCCAGTCGGTAACAGCTCTAGTCCAGCGGTCGTCTTTAAATCTCATTACGTGACCAGCCCATCTGATTTTTGACACCTTTGCAAATGAGACAGCGTCCCTGATTCTTGATCGTCGACAGATGTCGGAACTCCGGATTCTTTCTCTCATTTGAGTGAAACGTGATATTCCAAGCATAGCTCTTTCTATTCTTCTTTGGGAGACCTAAATAGCGTTCTCATCCTGTTTGCGTAGGGCCCAGGTCTCTGAGGCATATGTTAATGCAGGAAGAACAGTGGAATCAAAGAGATGTGCCCGGAGCCGGAGATTCTTCATCCTCTTAGCTATTTCTTCGACGTTCTTGAAGGCGTTCCAAGCCGCCCTCTTCCTCCTGCGCAGCTCAGGTGCCAGGTCATTTGTCATGTTGACTTCTCGACCTAGGTACACATAGCTGTTGCATTCGGAGATGGTCATTCCGTTGAGAGCGAATGGAGTATCAGGAACGAGGCTGTTTCTCATAAACATTGTCTTCGTAAGATTCGGCTGTAGTCCTACCTTTCTACACTCACAGTCAAAGTCGGCCAGCCTTTGTGCCACTTGGCTGATGTTTGGTGTTATTAAAACAATGTGATCAGCAAAGCGGAGGTGGTGTAGTTGCCGACCATCTATCTTCACTCCCATTCCTTCCCATTCCAGTCATCGCATGATGTTCTCGAAGGTGACACTGAAGAGTTTCGGTGAAATGGTATCACCCTGCCGAGCCCCTCTCTTGACATCAACGATCAGGTTGCAGTACCATACCCCCAGCAATTCCCCTTCTTGACATTTACTCTTAAGGAACAAAAAACTCTCTTCAGAAA